CCAGAGAGAGGGAGACCAGAGAGAGAGAGACCAGAGAGAGGGAGACCAGAGAGAGAGAGACCAGAGAGAGGGAGACCAGAGAGAGGGAGACCAGAGAGAGGGAGAGAGAGGGAGACCAGAGAGAGGGAGAGAGAGGGAGACCAGAGAGAGGGAGACCAGAGAGAGGGAGACCAGAGAGAGAGAGACCAGAGAGAGAGAGAGACCAGAGAGAGGGAGACCAGAGAGAGAGAGACCAGAGAGAGGGAGACCAGAGAGAGGGAGACCAGAGAGAGGGAGACCAGAGAGAGGGAGACCAGAGAGAGGGAGACCAGAGAGAGAGAGACCAGAGAGAGGGAGACCAGAGAGAGGGAGACCAGAGAGAGAGAGACCAGAGAAAGGGAGACCAGAGAGAGGGAGACCAGAGAGAGAGAGACCAGAGAGAGGGAGACCAGAGAGAGAGAGACCAGAGAGAGGGAGACCAGAGAGAGAGAGACCAGAGAGAGGGAGACCAGAGAGAGGGAGAGAGAGGGAGACCAGAGAGAGGGAGACCAGAGAGAGGGAGACCAGAGAGAGGGAGACCAGAGAGAGAGAGACCAGAGAGAGAGAGACCAGAGAGAGGGAGACCAGAGAGAGAGAGACCAGAGAGAGGGAGACCAGAGAGAGGGAGACCAGAGAGAGGGAGACCAGAGAGAGGGAGACCAGAGAGAGGGAGACCAGAGAGAGAGAGACCAGAGAGAGAGAGACCAGAGAGAGGGAGACCAGAGAGAGGGAGACCAGAGAGAGAGAGACCAGAGAAAGGGAGACCAGAGAGAGGGAGACCAGAGAGAGAGAGACCAGAGAGAGGGAGACCAGAGAGAGGGAGACCAGAGAGAGGGAGACCAGAGAGAGGGAGACCAGAGAGAGGGAGACCAGAGAGAGAGAGACCAGAGAGAGAGAGACCAGAGAGAGGGAGACCAGAGAGAGATCATTACAAGCCTTTGCTGAATTGATCCAGAGAAGATCCCATCAGGACCAGAGTCTGCTCGGTCTCCTTCAATCAAACCGTTTAAAAGTATACTGTCTATTCTCTGAGCCACAGGGGGGTGAGGGGGGGAGGGGTGGCTCTGGTCTGGGTCTGGTCCTGGTCCTGGAGCAGACATTGATCGAGCGGTGGAGACACTGGTCTGTCTGCTGGGTTCAGACGACTGAGGCTGGGGTCATGTTCTAAGAGAGAGGGTCCGATCATTAGGAGGGGGGGGGGGGGGGGGGGGGGATCATTAGAGAGGGGGGTGTGATCATTTAAGTCTGATCGTAGACCCAGGACTACAATCTGCTCCTGATGTACAAGATGTCTCTCTCTCTCTTGTCTCTCTCTCTCTGGTCTCTCTCTCTCTGGTCTCTCTCTCTCTGGTCTCTCTCTTGTCTCTCTCTCTCCGGTCTCTCTCCGGTCTCTCTCTGGTCTCTCTCTTGTCTCTCTCCGGTCTCTCTCTCTGGTCTCTCTCTGGTCTCTCTCTGGTCTCTCTCCGGTCTCTCTCCGGTCTCTCTCTGGTCTCTTTCTGGTCTCTCTCCGGTCTCTCTCTGGTCTCTCTCTGGTCTCTCTCTGGTCTCTCTCTGGTCTCTCTCCGGTCTCTCTCTGGTCTCTCTCTCCGGTCTCTCTCTGGTCTCTCTCTGGTCTCTCTCCGGTCTCTCTCTGGTCTCTCTCTGGTCTCTCTCTGGTCTCTCTCTTTGACCTAAGTCACTGTGTCCCAGAGTAGTGTTTGTTTGTCCTCGTTGTTCGTTGTACAGTCTGATGCCATAGACAGGTGATGCATTGTGGGTAAAGTGATCAAAGAGGACTCTAACAGACTCGTTCTTGTCTCTCGCCTCTGGGGCCACTTTCAGACTGTCATCTCCTGCACAACACACCCTTTGTCCACAGAGACCAGAGCGAGACCAGAGAGAGAGACCAGAGAGAGAGACCAGAGAGAGAGACCAGAGAGAGAGACCAGAGAGAGAGACCAGAGAGAGAGACCAGAGAGAGAGACCAGAGAGAGAGACCAGAGCAAGACCAGAGAGAGAGACCAGAGAGAGAGACCAGAGAGAGAGACCAGAGAGACCAGAGAGAGAGACCAGAGAGAGAGACCAGTGGAAAGCAGAGAGCGCAAACACACAGACACACAAACACCACACACATTTGTGTTGCTGTGATACTATCCCGTTGTTGTTTTTCAAAGGTGTTAATGTTTGTAACCCTGGTGGAAAAACCTGAATATTATTAATATATGCATACTTATATTGAAAACAATTATTCATGTGTGTATTATATTAATATTATCCCTGCTGCCCCGCTGTTTATTTTTTATTAAATCGCTGTATTTGCAATGCAATCGTCACGTGACCTCCGCAGCCAATGGCAGCGCGAGTAGAACGATTAGGTCCACCTGTGTGCAGCCTGTGGGGAGGCTGGATGACAGCTGTGGACAGGTTCATATTGGAAAATATTTGCGGGTTATCATTGTGCCTTGCTATAAGTTAAGTGTTGAAATACCACTGACAGAGCTGAATACTGGGCCGCGGGGGGTGCTTGAATGGAGTGTTGTCATGGAGATTAATGTGATGTTTTACATGACTAGCGCAGCCAAAGTCCATGTCATGCTGAGAAAATACGGTTGACATTGAACGCAACTTGGTTTCTACTCTCTCTTTCCAATCAGGTGGAATTGGTGAGTCACCAAAACCAAAGTTCAGCGAAGTGTTGTTCTCTGAAGGACTAGTCACCTTGTGTTCTGAAATAATACACTCATAGGCTTCTAGTTCTGCTATAACTGTCAAGGGTGGAATGAAAATGTCCTGTTCTGATTCGTTCCGTACCATAACTGGAACTTTGTGAGGATAACGAGTTGGTACAACCACCAAACAGCTACTGATGCACAAACCACCCGGCAGGCCGGACTCCGGATGTTGAACAACAGCATACTGGCTGGAAGTGAGACCTTAGCAGAGCCTTCAAGCACAACTGAGTGACCAGCAGGAACAAGAACTGGTGATTTGCTGTTGACAGTGACAACTCCAACGTGACCACCACAGGTCTGTTGATACATCACACTGAGAGTTTGTAAAACAGCACGATAACCAGAGGAGTGCGGTTGGAATGAAGCATTGCCACTTTGACAAAATTGATTATAAAGAGTCTCAAGAGTATTCATGCCAATGAGTACGGAAGTGGGAAAACCAGGCCTCACATCTGGAACTATAAGTGCGAGTGCGGGAACAGATATGATTTTACCAACAAAATGTAACCGTAGTTTGCACATAGCCAAGATATGGCACAGGCTGTCCTGCTGCACCTTCTACTTGGAGTAAATCTTGTAATGATTGCACGGATTGGTCTGACAAATGTTTATTGTAAAAAGAAACTGGGATTGTAGTCACTTGTGATCCTGTATCTAACAGACATGTGCTGTGATGACCATTAACTGAAATGTCTGATGTACATCTGGAACCAACAAGTCCTTTTGGTACTACTCTTTCCACAATTGAGTTTGACTGTAGCTCTGAACACTGGGCAGTAACTTGTTCTTTGGCGGGACAAGATTGGTCCTGCTCAGTTCCTGGATGTCCCACACCAGGAACCGAAACTAGTTTAACTTTCCCTGTGGTGTGAAATGTTGTCGCTGCCACTTCTGTTGCTTGTCTTGGAATTGCTTGCGCTTCGCACTCACCAAGGCTGGGTTTGGGTCAGAGTCACACTGGGGTCTAATATGTCCATCTTCCCCACATCGAAAACAAAATCCAGGTTTCAAGTTTGATCGTACAGGTTTATTTTTCACAACTGCTGGACTCAAGTTCATGGGGGACTGTCCTCTGTTGGAAGTTAACGCAGCTATTTGCTCTGACAGTTGCTTAGTGAGATTTGGAAATACCGTACAAAGATTTGCCTCATCTGTGTGTAGCAACCTTTGACGTGCTCCTAGATGCTGTTTCATCCTCACACTCTTTGCTGCATCTCTATCTTCCTCTGTCCGCAGAAGTAGTAGAAGCTCTGCAAAGGTGGGTAGATTAGTTTTCCTCTGTTTAAGCTGTAATTCAGAAATTAGTCCATTGTCCCAACATCCTCTACAAAATTGAGCTAACAAGCGTTTTTCAATGTCCTGCTCAGATACTCCTCCTCTCCTCACAGCATGTTGCAACGCCACCTGCAGTCGCTGAAGATATTCAGAAGCCTTCTCACCACTGTTCTGATAGGTGTCCATAAATTTGGCGTAAAGTTCTTCTCCGTCCTGGACAGTGCCATAAGCAGACTCCAAATGCTGCAGATAGACATGTGGCAATGTGTCATGGCTGAGATGTTTCACCAGGTCACAGGCAGGTGGTCACAGGCCGTCTCCAATTAGCCTGGTGCGCTGGAGATCTGAGATGGACGGATCACGCAGCAACAGCTCGACGCCAGCCCTCCATGTGTCATAGTCCATTTCATTGTTTGGCCGCGGTACCTTGCCAGAGAATGGTCTCAGACGGTGGGCGCTATGGGACGTATCAGTGCTGCGGACCACATGCAGAGACCAGAGAGGGACCAGAGAGAGACCAGAGAGAGACCAGAGAGAGACCAGAGAGAGACCAGAGAGAGACCAGAGAGAGACCAGAGAGAGACCAGAGAGAGACCAGAGAGAGACCAGAGAGAGACCAGAGAGACCAGAGAGAGACTAGAGAGAGACCAGTGGAAAGCAGAGAGCACAAACACACAAACACACAGACACACAAACAACACAAACACACACATTTGTGTTGCTGTGATACTATCCCGTTGTTGTTTTTCAAAGGTGTTGATGTTTAGAGCGTTGTCATGGAAACGTGTGTTACCATCGTTGCCATTTTCCTGGTTTCGAGGTTCTATGTTTTCTCCACATTTGTTTTTGTTCGTTGTCTTTGTTTTTGCTTAGATTTGTTTTTCAAAGTTGTTGATGTTTGAGAGTGTTGCCGTGGAAACCCTCAGACTCACATCAGCTGAGGTCTGTGCGAGGCCTTCAGGAGCTACAGCACTTTGAAGACCAGGACGAGCTGAGATGGAGCCCTCACAGCCGCAGGGACCAGGACGAGCTGAGATGGAGCCCTCACAGCCGCAGGGACCAGGACAAGCTGAGATGGAGCCCTCTCAGCCGCAGGGACCAGGACGAGCTGAGATGGAGCCCTCACAGCCGCAGGGACCAGGACGAGCTGAGATGGAGCCCTCACAGCCGCAGGGACCAGGACGAGCTGAGATGGAGCCCTCACAGCCGCAGGGACCAGGACGAGCTGAGATGGAGCCCTCACAGCCGCAGGGACCAGGACGAGCTGAGATGGAGCCCTCACAGCCGCAGGGACCAGGACGAGCTGAGATGGAGCCCTCACAGCCGCAGGGACCAGGACTAGCTGAGATGGAGCCCTCACAGCCGCAGGGACCAGGACGAGCTGAGATGGAGCCCTCACAGCCGCAGGGACCAGGACGAGCTGAGATGGAGCCCTCACAGCCGCAGGGACCAGGACGAGCTGAGATGGAGCCCTCACAGCCGCAGGGACCAGGACTAGCTGAGATGGAGCCCTCACAGCCGCAGGGACCAGGACGAGCTGAGATGGAGCCCTCACAGCCGCAGCGACCAGGACGAGCTGAGATGGAGCCCTCACAGCCGCAGGGACCAGGACGAGCTGAGATGGAGCCCTCACAGCCGCAGGGACCAGGACGAGCTGAGATGGAGCCCTCACAGCCGCAGGGACCAGGACGAGCTGAGATGGAGCCCTCACAGCCGCAGGGACCAGGACTAGCTGAGATGGAGCCCTCACAGCCGCAGGGACCAGGACGAGCTGAGATGGAGCCCTCACAGCCGCAGGGACCAGGACGAGCTGAGATGGAGCCCTCACAGCCGCAGGGACCAGGACGAGCTGAGATGGAGCCCTCTCAGCCGCAGGGACCAGGACAAGCTGAGATGGAGCCCTCACAGCCGCAGGGACCAGGACAAGCTGAGATGGAGCCCTCTCAGCGGCAGGGACCAGGACGAGCTGAGATGGAGCCCTCACAGCCGCAGCGACCAGGACGAGCTGAGATGGAGCCCTCACAGCCGCAGGGACCAGGACGAGCTGAGATGGAGCCCTCACAGCCGCAGGGACCAGGACGAGCTGAGATGGAGCTCTCACAGCCGCAGGGACCAGGACGAGCTGAGATGGAGCCCTCGCAGCCGCAGGGACCAGGACGAGCTGAGATGGAGCCCTCTCAGCCGCAGGGACCAGGACAAGCTGAGATGGAGCCCTCACAGCCGCAGGGACCAGGACAAGCTGAGATGGAGCCCTCTCAGCGGCAGGGACCAGGACGAGCTGAGATGGAGCCCTCACAGCCGCAGGGACCAGGACGAGCTGAGATGGAGCCCTCACAGCCGCAGGGACCAGGACGAGCTGAGATGGAGCCCTCACAACCGCAGGGACCAGGACGAGCTGAGATGGAGCCCTCACAGCCGCAGGGACCAGGACGAGCTGAGATGGAGCCCTCGCAGCCGCAGGGACCAGGACGAGCTGAGATGGAGCCCTCGCAGCCGCAGGGACCAGGACGAGCTGAGATGGAGCCCTCGCAGCCGCAGGGACCAGGAGAGGCTGAGATGGAGCCCTCACAGCCGCAGGGACCAGGACGAGCTGAGATGGAGCCCTCACAGCCGCAGGGACCAGGACGAGCTGAGATGGAGCCCTCACAGCCGCAGGGACCAGGACGAGCTGAGATGGAGCCCTCACAGCCGCAGGGACCAGGACAAGCTGAGATGGAGCCCTCACAGCCGCAGGGACCAGGACGAGCTGAGATGGAGCCCTCACAGCCGCAGGGACCAGGACGAGCTGAGATGGAGCCCTCACAGCCGCAGGGACCAGGACGAGCTGAGATGGAGCCCTCACAGCCGCAGGGACCAGGACGAGCTGAGATGGAGCCCTCACAGCCGCAGACAGAGGACACAGGTCTAATAAAGCAGCCGACCACACAGCGCTCACACCTGGTCCTCAGGAGCATCTCTCAGCGGCGCCTGGCTCCTCTGGTCCACTCCTTCTGGGACACGATGGAGACCGCAGACCTCTCTCAGCGCGAGGCCCGAGCCAGGGTGGCTCAGCTGTTCCTGGACATCGTGACCACGGCCTGTCAGGAGGTCCTGGTGGTCTTCAAGGACTTTGTGTCCGGCTCAAGTCCAGCAGAAGCTCCTGCAGTGACGCAGAGCAGTGTGAAGAGGGCGCTGTGGGGACACATGTTCAAGTCCAGATGTTGCAGACCACGGGAGGAGTCTGAGAGCCAGCTGCTGGACCTGGCCAGTCTGGAGGTGGCCAACCAGGTCAACACCACTCTGTCCCAGGACCAGGACCAGGAGGACCAGCAGAAGGCACGAACTACAGAGCCTCAGGAGGAGGTCACCAAGTCCCAGCGTCTGAGGATCATGGAGGCTCTGAGGAAGTACTGCCCATGTCTTTGTCCTCAGTCCAGCCCTGGACCTCAGGACAGGTCTCTGAGGTCCACGGAACAACCTGGACTGGAAGACTACAGCCAGGACCCACTGAGGTCCACTGAGCAGGACTACAGCCAGGACCTCCATCAGGACCTCCATCAGGACCTCCAGCAGGAGAAGCAGCAGGCTCAGATGCAGCAGTCCTCTTCGTACAGTCTGACAGCAGACCCTGTGAGAGCGAGGGACCTCCTGGAGCTGGAGGCTGTGAAGATGAGCGGAGATGATCTGAGTGAGGGTTCCCTGGTCCAGAGGAGCCCAGACACAGCTCCTGGTGAGCTCCTCCTGGAGGAGAGACTTGGTGAAGGAGGTCCTTTAGAAGCGGTCCTCGTTCAGGACACAAAGACTGAGGCCCGACCTCAGAAGAACAAGTTCCTCTGTCGCTCCTGCTGCGCTAGCAACTGTCTGAAGAAACTAGCAAGAAAACTGTGTGGTCCCACACTGACCACTCCCCCCAGAGACACTCTGCAGGAGGCCTCTGTGCCTGAGGAGGTGAAGCTGAAGGAGGAGGTGAAGCTGAAGGAGGAGGAGGAGGTGAAGCTGAAGGAGGAGGAGCCTGAGCTGGACGAGAAGGCTCAGGCCCTGGAGGAGTTCGCTCTGCTGCTGGCAAACCCCCAGAAGGAGGTCCAGTGTGTCCCTGGAGGTCCCTTTGAGCAGGAGGTCCAGTGTGTCCCTGGAGGTCCCTTTAAGCAGGAGGTCCAGTGTGTCCCCGGAGGTCCCTTTGAGCAGGAGGTCCAGTGTGTCCCTGGAGGTCCCTTTAAGCAGGAGGTCCAGTGTGTCCCTGGAGGTCCCTTTGAGCAGGAGGTCCAGTGTGTCTCTGGAGGTCCCTTTGAGCAGGAGGTCCAGTGTGTCCCTGGAGGTCCCTTTGAGCAGGAGGTCCAGTGTGTCGCCGGAGGTCCCTCTGAGCAGTGGGACCTCCCCCACGTGGTGGGCCTGGTGTACGAGCTGGTGTCCCGCATCCTGCAGACCAACAAGTTTGTGGATCTGAAGGATCTGTCTGCGGCTCTGCTGCAGAAGCTGCATCAGCAGATGAAAGACTGGAAGATCAAAGTCAAAGCGGACACTGTCCACATCAAAGAGGTGTCCAAGCGGGTGTACAGGGACCTCTGCTTGGGACGCCCCAGGAACTGGGTCACTCTGGACAGTCTGATCCGACAGGACTACCTCGAAGAGATCGTCCTCACCATCCGCAGGTATCTGGTCTAAACCCCGCCCCCTGCTAAACCCCGCCCCCTCTGCTAAACCCCGCCCTCTCCTCTTGACAAACGTTTTCAATAAATGTGCAAACATTTTAAAAAAACATGTTTGTCTCTTTGTGTGTGTTTGTAGAATGATAAAAAAAGTAAAAATGTCTGTTGTTAGCTAAAACAGAAACATGAGTTTGGAGCCGATGGTGAAACACAGCCTCAGTCCTGGGTCTACGGCCTCAGTCCTGGGTCTACAGCCTCAGTCCTGGGTCTACAGCCTCAGTCCTGGGTCTACGGCCTCAGTCCTGGGTCTACAGCCTCAGTCCTGGGTCTACAGCCTCAGTCCTGGGTCTACAACCTCAGTCCTGGATCTACAGCCTCAGTCCTGGGTCTACAGCCTCAGTCCTGGGTCTACAGCCTCAGTCCTGGGTCTACAGCCTCAGTCCTGGGTCTACAGCCTCAGTCCTGGGTCTACAGCCTCAGTCCTGGGTCTACAGCCTCAGTCCTGGGTCTACAGCCTCAGTCCTGGGTCTACAGCCTCAGTCCTGGGTCTGAAGCCTCAGTCCTGGGTCTAGAGCCTCAGTCCTGGGTCTACAGCCTCAGTCCTGGGTCTACAGCCTCAGTCCTGGGTCCACAGCCTCAGTCCTGGGTCTACAGCCTCAGTCCTGGGTCTACAACCTCAGTCCTGGGTCTACAGCCTCAGTCCTGGGTCTACAGCCTCAGTCCTGGGTCTACAGCCTCAGTCCTGGGTCTACAGCCTCAGTCCTGGGTCTACAGCCTCAGTCCTGGGTCTACGGCCTCAGTCCTGGGTCTACAACCTCAGTCCTGGGTCTACAGCCTCAGTCCTGGGTCTACAGCCTCAGTCCTGGGTCTACAGCCTCAGTCCTGGGTCTACAACCTCAGTCCTGGGTCTACAGCCTCAGTCCTGGGTCTACAGCCTCAGTCCTGGGTCTAGAGCCTCAGTCCTGGGTCTACAGCCTCAGTCCTGGGTCTGAAGCCTCAGTCCTGGGTCTACAGCCTCAGTCCTGGGTCTACAGCCTCAGTCCTGGGTCTACAGCCTCAGTCCTGGGTCTGAAGCCTCAGTCCTGGGTCTGAAGCCTCAGTCCTGGGTCTACAGCCTCAGTCCTGGGTCTACAGCCTCAGTCCTGGGTCTGCAGCCTCAGTCCTGGGTCTACAGCCTCAGTCCTGGGTCTACAGCCTCAGTCCTGGGTCTACAGGCTCAGTCCTGGGTCTACAGCCTCAGTCCTGGGTCTACAGCCTCAGTCCTGGGTCTGCAGCCTCAGTCCTGGGTCTACAGCCTCAGTCCTGGGTCTGCAGCCTCAGTCCTGGGTCTACAGCCTCAGTCCTGGGTCTGCAGCCTCAGTCCTGGGTCTACAGCCTCAGTCCTGGGTCTACAGCCTCAGTCCTGGGTCGATCCCGATTATTTGTAGTAGAATAATAAAACATTGATTGATGGATAAATCCATAACGTTGGCGTCTCGGAGCCGTTGACCCGGATCTGACTGATACGAGACCAGGACGACTCGTAAAACCATCAGTCTTTATCATAAGTAAATACAGCACAGGTATAAAGTACTCGAGTACACACAGTCACTGATCTACATCCTGTTTTGACTCTGGATGATGTTCATGTGACATCACAACGTTGCAAAGAGCCTCTGGTGGAGAACAGTGTAAAACTCCCTCTAGTGGCAGAAGTGGAGAATTACACTGAGGCCATAGATGCATTTACTGCAGTCTATCATTTCATTTGACTAAATATGTTGCTACAGAGACACACATACGTCACACACACACACAGACACACACACACATACGTCACACACACACACACAGACACACATACGTCACACACACACACACACACACAGACACACATACGTCACACACACACACAGACACACACACACATACGTCACACACACACACACAGACACACATACGTCACACACACACACACACACACACACACAATACGTCACACACACAGACACACACACACATACGTCACACACACACACACAGACACACATA